ATCATCGATTAAAATTTCAGGGTTGCAGAGGAGTGTGAATACCTAAAACAATCATTCATTGCATTTTAACTGAGGATCTTCAAATGAAGAAAGTCTGCACTGGCAATTGGATCTTGCATCATGACAACGCATTTAGCCACACCACTCTTATTGCCTCCGAGTTGCTGGCAAAACAGGGTGTAGCAACGCTGTTCCAGCCACCGTACAGTCCCTATCTGGCACCAGCATGCTTCTTTTTGTTCCCAAGAGTCAAAAGAACTCTGAAAACAATTCTGAGCAATTCTGCATGGGACGCTGGAGGTGGTAGTGGTAGTCCATTTTTTCTAGACGAGGGTGCAGTAGATACCTCTGTGCGGAGCGTGACCCTGTTTTAATAACTGCCTGCAGGTGACTGACATCAGTCTCGTTTCGAAGCTTAGATCCTCCACCAACTTTTTCGTACGAAGCTCTGTCCCTCCAGCCAGTACAAAATAACTAAAAAACTGCCAACTAAAAAAAATCTTCCTTGGAACTTTTGAGACAGACCATGTAGTAATAATTTTTTTTCTTGAAGAAATTTTCTTGCATAAAACTATATTATTCGTTATCAAAACTCTTGACTTTCATCTTAAGATTTTTAATTCTGAATAAAAGAAAATGTTATATACATTGTAAATTTAATTAAAAATAAAGTGTGTGAACTATATTTTTAGTACTTTTTTTGGTTTCAGAATGGAATAGTAATCCTCATATTATTTATTAAGCAAAAATGAGTGCATTCTTTTCAAAATATTGATTAAAACTCGAACTTTTTTCTCCTTTTCAGATCATAAGACAAGTTCATTGCTATTAAAGTACACTTATATTAAAAGGGGAAATTCTCCTCTTTACTCGAGAAACAGTTTTTCAAACATTAAATGATTGATTTTTAATGTCATTTGTTGTTTATAGTTAACTAAAAAAATGTTGCGTAAAACAATACAAAAATTTACAATCCTTCAATTTTGTGTCTAATCACGTCGCGATCAAATGATTCACAAGCCTGGTTAACACATTGACGTATATCTCTTAGAAACATTTAAAAACACATTTTACTGCTCGGTTAACCCCTTGCGTACCATGTGACCACTAGTGTATACATACTAGTGGATATAGCAGCGGTCGCCAAACTTTTTGACCTCACGGACCAGTAAATTCATAATTTAAACCCCGCGGACTACTAATAGGATTTTTTAAGTGTTAAATATATTTATAAAAAAAAATTGTGATCTAAGAACACTTAGAATGTACCTAGTTAATAAAATGAAACTGTTAATTGCAACCAAATTTTGAAATCTGTATTAATATAAACCATAATAAAATAAACAAAAAAAACAATTAAAACATGGTTTAAGTATAACAATCTTTAAGCTTTATACATTCCTAGTGTTATGGATGTTCCTGCTTACTTGAAATAAGATTATGGATATTTGGATCCGATGTTTTTATTGCAAGACGGAGAACTGCTTTTATTTCAAGCTGAGATCGGTGTCGTGTTTTGATGGTTGTGACAGATGAAAAGGGATTTTCACATAAATAAGTTGCGGAGAATTGAATCAGTATTTTTATTGCTTGTTTACTAAGAAAAGAGTATTCACTTTTCATGGAAAGCCAAAACTGAGATCTTGATAAGGATGAATAAAATTTAAATTTGAGAGTTTCGTCGGACATAGTTCGATGAGGCTTTCTTTTAGATACTTGCTTAAATTATTATCCTGAATTATACCCTAATTGTTATCCTAAATTATAATCCACATTTTTCTGGGGACCAGCGAAATTTTCTCGCGAATCACCACTTTGGCGACCTCTGATGTATAGGACAAAATCCAAATGGAACCTCATGTGGATACATGGCTTAATTAGGTGTAAAACCAGTGTAACAAGCGCAGGAAATGTTATAAGATAGATTTTCCTTTATTAAGATTGTGCAAAATTATAGAAGTTAAGTTACAAAATATCTGGGTTGAAAAATTCGAAAAAATAGTAAAATTAGAATTGAAACTAGAAATCCTTAAAAATTACTAGAAATGTTCCTGGGAACAAAAAAGTTTTTCCACTTGTTTTACATAAGTGAATTGTCATTTTTTCCCATTTCTTCGTTTCAAATAGATAAATCTGTATCAGAGTCACTGTCATATTCGTCAGTTCCTTGCAAATATTCTCATTGAGTATCACTTTTTTGAAATCCAACGACGGTGCAATATTGGCAATCAAAAGTAAAAATAAACAACAAAAATCGCTATACAAACTTTAGAAAGCAAAACGAAATACGAGTGAAAGTGCACCTAAGTCAGTGTCAAAAGGAATAGTTAAATGTGCGTTATAACGTTATTATAATACAACATTATTATATTTTCATTTTAGTTTTGTCTGTATGGTTTGAGTTTACAGTTCACACACACACAACACATTTAATATCTGAATTAAAAATAAATTTCCTAAAATGAATTGGAGCACAATGGCTTAGAATCCTGTGTTAATATTTCCTTAAGTTGCATAAAATGAAAGAATACTTATAAAAATACCCATTTCTGTCTTTTTTAAATAAAATTTATTTAATATATTAACCACAAATAGCTATTATGAAAAAAAAAGTAAGCAAATGTTAGTTAACAATTAGCTTGGTGACATAAATTAAGCTCAAGACCAATAGAATAAAATTAATCTCCGTAATTAAAGCTCGTTTTTTTTTAAAATATATAACATATTGAAGATATAAATGCTCCCAAATATGGTTAAAAATTTGTTTGGAATTTTCGAAAATTTTTTCTCTTTTAATGAAACAAAATCAAATGTTTGGTAAAAATGTTAGAAAAATCGATTAAAATTAGTGTACTAACAAACCACAACACGTTAAAAATGATAACTAAAATTGCTCTGAAGAATTATAACAATATAAAGATAAACGTATATGTTACAAAAATAATAATTTAAGTAACAGTGAAAAAATTAAACGATGGAAGTCATAATTTCGACAGATTTGTTACAATGCTGGCTATTGCGTAAAACTAAAGAGAGGATTTTGTTGAGAAAGAATGAGGATATAGTTGATATTAAAAAATATCTTATCAAATAATATCTTAGAAACAAAATTAAATATATAAAAATAATTATATACATATTCTAAGATATTTACTACATCAGTTTTAGAAGTGGAAAAATAAATGGAATACATCAATCTAACTTAGAACAGCAAAAGGCTTCAAATTTAAATGAATATTATAGTATTAAAAACAACAATGTAATAAATTCGTAACAATTTTATTTAAAAAGAATAAAAAGGCAGAAAAACTATCACTAAACAATAACTTATTCAGAAATGGAACAAAAGATATATAAACGATTCAGGTAAAAATTACGGCAAATAGGAAAATCTTGGTAAATATTTAATCGTTGTAAAATGAGATGAAATCGAAGCGTTTTTACTTTAAAGTAAAAGTTATTAACACTTATTCCATTGCTTTGAAAGAAAATGTTCAAAAACATCATATTTTTATAAGTGTTAAGTAACTTTATTCCATTATCTGAAAAAGTGCTTGTATGATTGAAAAATAAGAAACATTGCTGATGCTTTTAGAAGAATTAAATTAAGAACCAAATCAGAAAACAAATTCAATATAATAACGGTATACGAATGTAGCATTAAATAAAGAATGGGAGCAAAGAAAATATAAGCATCACCTTTAATACTTAGTAGGTATTTCTTTCTATAACGATATTAAATTTCAAATAAGCGTTCACAAGAATACATCACATCTTTTAAGGTATCCGACTCTACGTTCGGAACCGTGGTTATAAAAAGCACATAAATGGATAATTTTCATGTTATTTAGTGTCACTTAGATTAGAATACATGTATAAAATTGTTTTAAGGATATTTTGACAAAAAAAAATTATTTAAATACAATATTTTGGCAAAAAATTAACTTAGAATAATCTTTTTTCAAAATGTTCTCCTTTTGTGAAAAATGCTTCTATTATAATAATATTTTGCCTGTATATAACTCAGACCTCTGTACAGAGGCTCAACTAGAATGTTTGAAAAATTCACATTATTTTCTGAGTTACCACCAATTAAAATAATTTTCGGCGTTTTTTTCTTAAAATTGCTCCCCTCTGTTGTCGTAAAATATGGATAAACCCACTTCTAAGTTATATATTTCAAAAATTCTAGTTGAATCTCTGTAGAGAGGTCTGAGCTATACACAGGCAAAATATTATTATATACTAGAAGCATTTTTCACAAAAGGAGAATATTTTGAAAATGGGTCATTCTATGTTCATTTTTTTGTCAAAATATTGTACTTAAGTAATTTTTTATTGTAATACTATCTAAGTGACACTAAATATGATAAATATTATCCATTTATACGCTTGTGAAAAATCACGGTTCCGAACGTAGTCGGATACCTTAACACACTTACATTTTTAGAAGTGAGTTAGATATTTATGTCAATAGGAAATCCTTTTACAAATGCATGAATGATGCGAAAAGGTACACACAATTTTCTCTCCTAAAAGCTTTTGTTTTTTTCAACATAATGTAAAATTTATACTAATTCAAATCACTCAAATAATCGATTAATTACTAATATTATTGATTTAACTAATTTACTATTTTATAAACCAAGTTTATTTTATTAATTTTAAAGAATAACGAATTTGTTGGAACAACTTTAACAAGTAATATAACAAAAAAAAATAAGTCAATTCCTACTTAGGTCAACAAATTTTTATTTTTATTTTATAGTTAATTTTTTGTTAAATAGTTACAATTAATATAAATATGTATACATAGTTGACAGAATCACAACATTAAGTTACAAAATAGAAAGCGATTTTCCTTGCAATTTTTCCTTTTTCTTTCTATATATGGGAATGGACTATTTTTGTTTGTTTGTTACTATTTATTCAGTAATTATATTTAATTATCCTATTAAAACAGCAAAGTAAAAAATAAATCACATTCTCAGAAATTAGGCCATCCCAGGTGGGATTCAATCCCACGACCTTTGAATTAGAAGCCCAACGCGATATCCACTGCGCTACAGAGACACAACGAAAGATGTTCCTTCCTAAATATGCTGTTGGACTATTATTTTTATTTGTTACTATTTATTCATTTTTTTATTTAATTAATGAATTGATATTTGAAAAAACTGTATTAACATCAAATGTCATCCGTTACAAGTTTAAAAGATGCATTTGAACTTGAATGGATGAATAGAATGTATTTTATTGACGATTGAAAATTTGAACAAGATATATATACTAAAATTGGATAAAAACAGACAGACAGAGGAGTAGAGCTATTACAATTGAAGGTACCAGAAGTGTCTTTGAACTAAAATGGAGACCTATCCTTATTTTTAAATCTATCGCTGAGTTAGGCCAGCAAAATTAGACTTAAGCAATTCTTTATGGATCCACCTTCCCCGTAGTGCAAAAATTTTTGACATAATAGAAAATATAGCTAATCCCACAAATATATATCCATAGGGAGAGAGAGAACTAATAATTGGAATCGAAAGACAAATCCACAGATTCACAGAAGCCAGTCCACAAAATTCTCTTCATTTTTTATCTATGACAAGCATAGTGTAAGTGAACGAAGTTCCAATTATAGTTAAAATAGTGCCTCTTCTGAAAGAAACCATTTCACATCCTGAGAACTCGAATTCTGGTTCATTAAACATGTCCGTTTTCAGAAATAACTCGTCCCGTATGTTGAAATAAAGCAGTCTTCGGTGAGTTTTCTGGTAAAACGTTTCTTTGAATGCATTTAATTCCACTGGAATACTGCCAGCCACCCAGAGAACGGACACAACACATAACACAGAATTAATTGCAAAATATGGAGTTTCCACTTTCCAATAATAATCCGCCTCGTCCCACTGTTTAACCAGAAGCCACCCAGTTATGCCACTGCACATTGCGATATGGCCAATCAGAATGAAGAATACTGACAAAGAGAATGTGTCTTTGATCTTTAGAAGCAAATTATAAATTTTAATTCTTTTCCTGAGGATATTGCGTTGGAAACACAATGTAAAATCTTCTGGTGAACGATCAGCAATTTCGCGATTAAGATACTGAATGCTGGTTTTGCAACGCAAACACAGAGAAATATAAAATAGTGCCACCGTATTAATGTAAGTTGGATTTACCATATAGATGATAATTGATTTGATGCTTATTATGGTAAATTTTGCCGATTCATTGTTGATATCATACCCATATGAATAGAAAGCTGATTCTTCAGTTGCGCTGATACTGATTGCCAAATGAATCGAGAGAATCACAGGTAAGCTGCAGCTCAGAATAACTAAATAGTTTATAAACTTTTCAAATGAAGATGGTTTTTCTTTTTCCGCTTTATGCAACAAATCTCCAATGCGTTTTCTTTTGAGCAATATGACATACCATACCACGACTGGAAACACGAAGCTAGCAATGTTGGCAACAGCAACCTTGAACATTGTAAAATCTGTAAATGCTGCTTCAAGAGATGCATATATGTCTATGAACATGGAATGCATTGAAATACTAAATAAAATGGAAATAATATTTTGTGTTTTATTAGTTAGACATTTATCCATAAATCCAGTGCAGCATAAAAAAGTGAGCATTAGTTTTGGTAATGATACTTTTCCTCCAAGTTCTGATATCTTACTGAAAGGTTTGAATCGATGCCTCTTTTGCTTTTGAGAAGGGTAATTTGAAAAGCTTGACTTCACTAGTGTTCTTTTGAACTGTAAAAGCCTTTTCAATATTTTATTTCTAAGAAATAGCTTTTTCATTATTAAGAGAATTCTCCAAGCGTTCACAATTAATATATTAAGGTTACACTGATGAAAAAAGGACAGTTTAGGATCAAATACATAAGAACGTAACCAGATTACACGGTGACGACATAACCTTTAACATCGTTTCAAAAATTTTGCAAGTATAAAAGATTTCCCTTTAACTCAAAAATTTGTCCTTATACATCTGCGAAAGAGATCTTTGCATACGACAGTTTACACTTCGTTTTCGTCATGAAAAAAAATTTACTTATATACTAAAACTTATTTTTCTTTCTCGTTATTTCATTAACGATGATAAACATTAAACGACTGAAAAGAGATGTTTGTTTTATAATTTTTAAATGATGTAATTTTAAGTAAAAATGAATTTATTTCTAACACAGTTTAAAATTTCTAAGAATATCTACTAATTTTATTCTCCTAGCACTAAAAAAAAGAAAATAGTTTAATCATTCACCCTTTATGAAAATTGCTTATACCTTCTTTACATATATCGTTAACTAGAAATTGCCTCTATGTACGACTTCCAAAATATATAGCCGATAAGAAAACAGTATCAAAAATCATCTGAATAAACACGGGTGAATAAAAGCCCAATTAATTTTACAGAAGTGGGTTAGTAAACAATTTCTGCAAAAAATCAATAATTAAGCGAGAGAGAGCCTATTTTCTTTCTCTCATCTTCAGAGTAAACAATATTTGACAAAATTGTTTTTACATTTTAATTATTTTAGGAGTAAATATAAAATTTTTAATTGGAATGAATATTTACTTTTCTTTATCTTATGAATAAAAATGAGTATTTAGTTCATAAAATAAATATGAGATAATTATTTAACTATACCATTTATTCATCTCATTTGTCGTTATTATACTCGGTATCTTAACGTATTATTTCCTTTTAGCTATATTCAGGGTAATT